TAGTATATATATATATATATATATATATATATATATATATATATATATATATATATATATATATATTTAAGTATCTTGTCTGTCTGTTGTTTTTAATCTATTATGTCACCTGTTGAAGCAGGACTCAGACTGAAATTTGGAAGTTGAACAGTATAAATATTAGTCATTCATGTCCCTGTAGGTGTTAATTTTATGCACATTTGTACTTGATTTGAAGCCCAGGTGTGTTTATAAAGTGCAGGGTTCTGACTGAGCTAGCATCGGGTAGGACCCTGTACTGACCTTTGTGTTGTCCCCATCTGTTTCTCCAGAATTTAAGCATTCATATGCCAATTTCATAACTCTTCACTGGTTTTATAGTGAATGATGAAGTAGAGAATCGGACCCTTCATTTCTTGCCCTCACAGTTACACAGAAAATCTTCCAAATGCATCCCAATGCCATGTTACAGCCAACCTGAAACTAGCTCAGAAAAGCATGAACCATTCCTTTCCTACCATTGGTATGTTGGCTCTGGAGCCTAATAATGATGGCTGAAATGTCAACTGTGTTAACGTTTTCACTGGTGACTATTTTTAACAGAAGCATCCAGTAATTCTGGCAGAGTCTGAGTCAAATGTCATTGCTTCCTTTTCCCTCTTCCCTAGTCTGACCTAGGAATACTCCAAGAGTTTTATGGGCATGCTTTCAGAGGCCAACTGAAAATTTGGCCCTTAATTTAGAAATAATAGTTGGGAGTTGTCCAGTGGTTTGGTTGCAGGGAAGTGAAGAAACTCATAGATTTTAAAATACTTTTGGGGAAATAAACTTTTTTTTTACATTTTTCTGAAACAGAATGTGAGGGGTTTATATAAGAAAGTGGAAAAATCTTCTGATTAGGAAGAGAACGCTTCCCCTGTGCTCCTTTGGAATTTTTTTGTTATATGAGAATAGCTGGTTGTAGGTCCCCACAGAAATGCAATCCATTAAGTTTTTTTGTCTATCCTATTTTTTGCGGGTGAGGGAACTTCACTCATCTTCCTGCATACACCCAGGAGCCACCTCCATGCCCAAACTTACCCCACAGAGGCTTTCTGTCTAGTCTGCAGAAGCAACTTGCCTATGGGATGGAGGGAGCAAGCCCAGTGCAAGAGTTCTCTGACCATTTATTCTGGAACCAACTCTTATGTTTGCTCTTCTTCCCACCCTCCATATCCTGGCCCTTTAAACTTTTAATTCCTTCCTCTCTTTAAGTAAATGAGTCAAACATATTGCACCCAACTCATTTCCGGAACTACTAGGAAATGCTCAAGATCATTCTCCCATTCAATATTCCCCTGAATCCAGCTGTAGAAATGAAATTGATTTATGAAACCTACACAGCCAGCCTAAAGTATAAGTCACTATTCCTTGGGTTCAGTGATCACACTACTGTACAGTCTTGCTTAGTTTTAAGTACCCACTTTCTTATTGCTCAGTTAAAATTTATATTGGTTACATATGGTGGCAGTTAAGGTTGTTAGTAAATATTCAGAAAACAATAACTGCTGCATAATTGTTAACTAACAAATGGGAAAGTGATGAACAGTTATTTTAGGCGTGAGTTGAGTTGTGTGTTGGAGATGGATGTTGTAACAACTCTGCTCATGTGATGTACGGGACCAGGAAGTACAGAAGGACTGACCTGCAGAATGGAGTCTTATGTCTCCTGTGCTTCTATTCCCCACAGTTCGGCCTGTGAAACTCAAGGAGGATATTCTCTCATGCACTTTTGCTGAGCTGAGTTTTGGCTTGTGCCAGTTTATCCAAGAGGTGCGGAGACCAAACGGTGAAAAATATGATCCCGACAGCATCTTATACTTGTGCCTTGGAATTCAGCAGGTAACTCATTGAACTACTGCATTGCCAAGTGTAAATTAGATGTTTTTAATGTAGTGTCTGTAGTCATTGGTAGCTGTTGGGAATTTATTTTGGAGATGAGGGCCACTTGGTTACCCCGTTTTTAAGGCTTATTCTTAAACCCTCACACATACCTCTAAAACCTGTCTGGCAGCAAGGGCAGGCCCTATCATGAGTGGTTAAGGAACACCCTTCCTTAACATGCTAGCAAATCTGAAAAGAAGTCTTGGACTGCCATTGCTAGACAGTTATCACAGAGATACCACTTACAGAAATAATATCATGAGAACAATCAAATTAGAATTAACCAATAGGAACAAAAAATGTAACTAGTTATTGTGGTCTGCTTGATTACTGTAAGCTGAAACAATGATGATAAACCCCAGAACCTTATAACTAGCTCTTTAAAACACAAAGTGACTCAGTTCAGGGTGGGACCAGTTTTTCCTTAGGTAGCATATTTGTTCACGGTCTCCAGTAACCATTCCGAGATTAGGGATCGAATGCTTTCCCGGGCATTAAACCTCATTTGGTTGGTTGTTGATTTGTCACCTTAACTTTTTTCACCAGACATGCTTGACAGAATGGAAGAAGAGCTATAAATTTGGTTTGCCTGTGACCAGCATTCAGGAAGATCAGAAATTTCTTAGCATTGCATTTTCTTTTCAAGCAAACTCTTTTTCCAGACTGGAGTAGAATGTTTGTATCCTAGTCCATTAGCCATTAAAGGACAATACATTCATGATGAAGATTGAACTCTCCCCCACTCCGATTACTGAGAACAAGCCTGCCTGTGACATCATAATAAGTCTGTGGTTGTGCCCTTTGTAGGCTTATATAAGATGCTGTCTGTGTTGGCAAGAGACGTTGTATTAACATATTTAAGCCCAGTTCATTAGAAAGATGCTAAAATGATTACGCCGGCATCTGTAGACAGAGCCATATTTGGAGATGTATTTTGTTGTGTTCACGGATGGTGAATTTTCAGAACACTGGTCTAGATCTGTGCATTAATAATTATTCTCGCCTGCATCTCCCATTTAATAAGAGAGGCCACTGCCCCTCTGTTTATCATACCTGGGATGCCAGTAAAATGCTTTGGAGCATAACACATTTGGAAATGCACGTTCATTTTGAGCATAATTGTAAAGGAAGGCAAAGAGAAATACCGTAGGAGAGAACCAAAATAAATCTGACCCCCTGTAACCTGTCAGCACTCTTCTATGTAACTGTGAATTGTATCTCTTCCTTTCTTTTCTCTTGTAGTACCTGTTTGAGAATGGTAGAATAGATAACATATTTACCGAGCCCTATTCCAGGTTTATGATTGAACTTACAAAACTATTGAAAATCTGGGAACCTACAATACTTCCAAATGGTAGGACAATTATTTTTCATACTGTGTTGTTTTTATGTACCTGCATGACAGTGAAACCCATCTTTATAAATGAATGAGTTCTCAGGGGTGCGCCTTACAGTATAGGTCATCTGAAGAGTGCTGTGACCAAAGAACAGCAGCATTGAACTACTCCATTAAGTCTACCATGATTAGGAGAATGATCTGTACTGTGAGGTGCTATCCTCCTCCTCCCCCGCTCTCCACCACATGTAGTCATTTGTGGGAGACGGGAATTCTGGATTCTGTATTCAACGCTGCCACTTACTTACTATGGGCCCTTTAGCAAGACACACTTAACCATCTCTCTGCCTCAGGTTATGCCTCTGTAAAATGGGTATAACGCTTCCCTTAGCCATACGTCATGGAGCTTCATGAATTAATGTTTGAAGTGCTCTTCATCTAGCATCTTTCATTGGAGGCTTTCAAAATATTGTTATAAATCCTCCCTCTGTTTCCTGCAGAGTTGGCTGGTTGATATACTTGGGAAGGGCACTGAACGAAACAAAGGTGGTAATTTTATCAATACAACTAAAACAGCTGAACACTTTTTTTTTTTTTTAACGTAATTTGGATAGAGGAGATGGGTTTCAGGATACCAAAGAAGCTTTAGTGATTGTGGTGATTGCGTACCTGGATCCATGACCATCTCTCTGTGTATTTCCTTTAATAAATTTAAAAAAAACAAAACAAAACAAAAAAAACCCACACATTTACACGGTGGTACATCCACCAAGGCCTCTGGTTTCCTAACACATCTGTGGGCTGGTCTACACCGGGGGGAGGGGGGGAGAATTGATCTAAGATATGCAACTTGGGCTACGTGAATAACGTAGCTGAAGTCGAAGTATCTTAGATCGACTTACCTGGGGTCCACACGGCACGGGATCGACAGCCGCGGCTCCCCCGTCGACTCAGCTACCGCCGCTTGCTCCAGTGGAGTTCCGGAGTCGACGGGGAGCGCGTTCGGGGATCGATATCGCATCTTAACGAGACGCGATATATCGATCCCCGATAAATCGATCGCTACCCACCGATACGGCGGGTAGTGAAGACGTACCCTGTGATTAACCTCCATAATACCTTTTCTTTACCTGCTTTCAGGTTCACTATGTCACAGCAGTTTATCTCCACGTGGAGGTATCACACAATTATCCATGCTCTACACCCAAGAAGTGTAATGTCTGAGCACTTGTTTGAGCTATACAACATGAAACTGTGCTGAGGTCTTACTGAGATAAATAAAGGCTGCTTTCCATTTGCTTTTGAAAAATCTCAGACCAAGCTATTGATCAGTTTCTCATGCTTGATGGGTCATATTTATCCCTTGTATAAGTGTATGCAGTTCTGTTGATTTCAGTCAAGTTAAATCTACTTGCTGTAGCTCTGAGTTTGAGCTGATGTACAGTTCATCGACGCATCAGGTTATCTAGGAGGATTTCATTTATATTATAATTTGTCTGGCAGGACCTCCCTTTTTAATGCAACTCCTCCCCCCCCCCCCCCATCCAACAGGGGTTTATTACTTTCCTTAAACCTATGAAAATCCTCAGGGATCACATTGTGCCCTCAAGTCACTGCTGAAGCTGTTTACTCATAGCTGAGGGCAGAGAGTTGCCCTTACAATGAGATGACTGTTTAGGAAAGAGCTGATTTTTCCTTTTCCTTTACCCATTATCCTCAGGTTACATGTTCTCGAGAATCGAAGAGGAACATTTATGGGAATGTAAACAGCTCGGTGCATATTCCCCTATAGTCTTATTGAACACACTTCTGTTCTTCAATACCAAATACTTCCAACTAAAGAATGTCAGTGAGCATCTGAAGCTGTCCTTTGCCCACGTTATGAGACGCACCCGGACTCTGAAATACAACACCAAGATGACATACCTGCGTTTTTTCCCACCTTTTCAAAAACAAGAGGTAGAATCAGGTGTGTTGCTGCTTTCTAATTACTTGAGGTGGTTTTAATTTGGATTTACATAGCCCCAGGAGCATTGCCAATGCTTTATTTTAAAATGAGGAAAACGTGCATTTAGTAATATTTGGGCTTCTGCTGATACTTTAACTTCCTTCCCCTTGTCCTCCCCCCCCCTTTCTTTTTGACTTCTAGCTGGGTTTAAAACCAGAATTCTGTATGAGCCCCACCAGCTGATAGAAACTTGTGGATGAGATGCCCAAAATATTTGAAAGATTTTCACTGATCATTTTTAGAGCAGATTAAGCACATCCAGTCACTCAAACCTAGAATAAGAGTCATTCCCTTCCTGGAGAGCTGATAGCTCGAAGGACCAGGCTCCTTAAGGTGCTGAGCACCTTTAACCCCCATGGAAGTCAGGGGCACTTGAAGTTAGTCTGCTTAGGTAGGATCTGCTTTGTAGTATGCACACCCTATCGCACTGGAGCAGGCCCGAAGACAGACCAGCCACAGGACAACAGTTCAGATAAAGCCAAGCCATCCAGAGCTGTTGACACACATGAAATTCAGGAGGAGGAAGTGGAAACTCTCCTTTTGCAGGCCCCAGATGTAGAGCGAGAGAATGCAGCTTTCCTTCGCTGCGGTAGTGGGTGAGCAGCTTATTGGTAAGCTGGGAAATGTTAAAGCTCAATCCGATTCTGTGAGGGGTGGCAATGAGCCCTGGGAGAGGAGTTGGTGGTGGTGGTGTTTGACTTGTTTGTTAATCGAAAACTCGGTGGAAGCGTTCTGACTGCCACTGATCAGACAGTGTCCTTCGTAAGGACAGCAAGCCGGATCATCAAGCTACTGCCTACTTGAGTTAATTTTGATAAGCTATGAATTCTCTCTATTAAGATAAATGCTATTGGTTGTGTGCTAGGTCTTCTTACCTTCTCCAGGAGGGGAGTAACACTTCTACTCTTCCCTCCTAGAGTTGAAGTCCTGGATAAGATTGATAACATGCACTACTGATTTTCTAAGTGAGTGACCATAAAGTCTCTCTTAAATGCTTCCAATAGTGTTACAAGTCCGTGCAGAATTGGGCCACTATGTCTTAGGCTGTAGTGTAGACATAGCCTATGTTGGCAAAACTTATGTCGCTCAGGGGTGTGTATATTCCACCCCCCTGAGCAACATAAGTTACACCGTCATAGCACTGTGCACACAAACGCTTATGTCGGTGGGAGAGCTTCTCCCATCAGCATCTTCACCACACATGCCGCAGCTGTATTGGTACTGCTGCATATACAGACATAGCCTTAGTTCTGGAACTTATCAAAAATTCATTCTGTGTCCTGGGAAAGGTCATTTGCATAAGCAAGATACACTGTGGGTAGATCTTGATTTCATTTTTATACAACTACTGTTAAAAGAAGTGGGGGTGTATGCTCTGAAGGTGCAGCAGAAGGAGATGGGTGGAGAAAAGCATAGTGGCAGGTAAGTGGACGTGTCGTGGAAAGGATATACGCACTCTGAGGTAGATGGGGAACAGACACACCAAGGATGACCATGCATTGGTACTATGGTGTTCTAGCATTTGAGCTGTGGATGGGGGCGAGGGTCGTATCAGTCACTGTAAACCGGCATTAAGAAGGTGAAACTAAATATTGTTTAAGCAATTACATTTTCCTGATCCAGCATTTCAATCTGTGTAGAAACAGATCCTTTCTGTTATGTTGGGCTCCTTTTTAACTCTCAGCGACACAAATGATGGCATTCTTTGATAAAGTTGTTTCCAGTGTTTGACTTGGCAGTGCCAGTTTGCATGAAAAATAATCCTCTCAAACAGCACGTCATTTATGCGCTGCGCAAAGCCCCATCAGGGTGCAGAACTTAAGCCAACCAGCTTCAGCTTACTGTCACAGAGGAGGACTGTTCTCCACTGAGCTCATGTGTCATTTTCCTGTATCCAGATAAGTTATCTGTAGGAAAAAGGAAACGGAGTGAGGACGAGGAGGTTCCAACAGCAGTGGAAATGGCTGAAAACACAGATAACCCTCTGAGATGTCCAGTCCGACTCTATGAGTTTTACTTGTCAAAATGGTGAGTGATTGGCACAACCTACTTTTGGATTATACTTGGACCAGATTGTGCCCTCCTGCAAGGAAACCTGTGGTGGGGTAGGGCAACTCTGCAGCTCCTCTGGGGGAGTTTTCTTCAAACACCCCACAAGAAGGGGGTTCCCACACACGCAGTTACCCTGCAAAGAAGCAAGGAAGTTATCCATCCCCGAGTCCCTATTGAGCCCCTCAGGAGGATCAGGGTCACCCAGCCCTTTGCCTCTGCACAGGCACTGAGGCTCCCTACTCCTCCTCAACAACATCACAACTCAAATGGAGCCAGGCACCAGCAGATCCTCCGGGGTTCAACTAGTGATGGGGAAATGCTGTCACATGGTAATACCGCTGTGGTTTGCATTAACTTTGCCAAGAGTTCCCCGGGCTGGGTGGGGGAAGAGGGGTAGAGGAAGATGCAGTAACCCCCACCATTCCTTTGCCCTCATGCTCACGGATTCTGGCCCCTGCAGAATGATTGCAATCTGGCCCCGTGCACCGAGAAGTAGAGCCAAGCTCTGCAATGCAGTAATCCATCGCGCAAGATAAGCAACATCTCAGTAGCACTTTCCTCGTTAAGCAGGGTGGAAGAGTGTGACTAGAGGTAACAACTAGAGATGCTGACATTTACTTGCTGAAAGATGAGATTAATTTTACTCCAGAAGTCACAAAGGAAGCCGCAGAACAAGGATGAACGTATAAATCAGTGGTCCCCAACCCTTTTTGTCTGGCGGGCGCCAGACGACGAGCTACGGAGGACCATGGCGGTGGACGAGCATCCGCTGAAATGCCGCCAACAAGCGGCAATGTCAATAGGCGTCGCCACCAAAATGCTGCCAACAAGCAGCAGCATCCAGAGGCGTCGCCGCTGAAATGCCGCATTTCGGTAGATGCTCGTCCGCCGGCCAGTACACGGGCACACTTAGACGCCCTGGTGGGCGCCATGGCGCCCGCGGGCACCGGGTTGGGGACCCCTGGTATAAATCATTCAGTCTCTCCCCCACTCTCCACTTAAGATCATTGAGCAATGGAGTTCAGTATTATTCTCTCTCAAAAGAACATACATGCCAGAGAGTGACATAGCATTAGTGCCCGCTAATAGCCCTGTAAATCATTCTCTGAAACACACACAACCAAACTAGGGCAAAATAGCCCTGCCCAGGCAAAGCCATGTCCGGCAACCCTCTCCACTCTCTGCTCCTTTCACACACATTCCTTGTGTTCACTGGTGTCATTCTGAGCTATCCCACATTTGCAACACCACCTCATATGACATCATAGTTCAGCCTCTGCAGTAGTGGCAAGTGACAGTGAAAAGCCTCTTTCACTTTCTGGATTTTAATGTGACAATTCTAAAGCCCAGCAGGGAGCGGAGGCTTTATACTCCTTGCTCCGCAAGACTGCCAGGCACTCTCTGATTCTGAAGGTCAGTCTTTCAAGTGGATGGGTTCACCATTCTGCTATCACTAACAGGCAGGCGAGGCTCTGGTTTTGTAGATCACTGGCTCTTGTACCCTCAGAATCCCAAAGAACATTTAAAAGTTATCGAGTGTCCCAGGAAATACCAGTAATGCCGTTAGTCTGCATAGACTTAGCCGGAGCTCCCATGTCGCCTTGAACACTAGAACCAGTTTTGTTCTGAGATTGAACGTTACTTGTGTTAAGATGGTGATGCCATGTAATGGGATGAAACTGCAATTGAAGAACCACCTCTATAAGGAGACGCAGCTATTCTGTTTGGTTCTATAAATAGCTAATGCCCTTTGAGCTGGAGATGGATTGGCAGCTCGCTACAATGAAGGGCAGAGATTGAGGCACTAGAATGGAGATCCAAATTTTACTGTTTAAATTGTAGTTATTCCAGTCTCAAGGTAATGTCAGGTAGTAGGTCTAAGCTGCTTTCCCTTTGTCTCTTTAACTGTGCTGTAAACAGGACTGCTAATGCTGCCTTCTGATACATAGTCTTCCTTTCTTTACACTAACAGTTCTGAAAGCGTGAAGCAGAGAAGTGATGTGTTTTACCTTCAACCTGAGCGTTCTTGTGTACCTAATAGCCCTATGTGGTACTCCACGTTGCCAATAGACCCCGGGACCTTGGACATCATGTTAACACGTATTCTTATGGTGAGGGAGGTACACGAAGAACTTGCCAAAGTCAGATCAGAGGACTCTGATATTGAATTGTCAGACTAACTGAAGTGGGGTATTTTCCTTTCAATACACATTGCAAGTACCAAACTGTGAACACATCCAGCCTTCAGAAAATGTTGTGTATCAAATAAGCCAAGTTAACGTCACTACACAGGCATATTTTGAACCACAATGGATGTGCAAACTGGAATCAGAAGGAAGCAAACTACTTTAAGCTGCAAGAAACGCCAGTGTCCAGTGCAGTGATAAATCCTCTAAACAAACTCAAGATGAATTAACCTGTTCAAGCGGTGCATAAATCCTTCATTTGTTTGGGATTAAAACAAAATTGTGAAATATTTTTAAGCAAAACTGTTGTATAAATTCTACCATAGTAACCATGGGCATAGAGAACTAGACTGTGGCTCACATGACTTTGCAGCCCGATGGCTGGCAGCCATTGCTGCCAAAGAGCATGTGGACAGGAGACACAGTGCAGTGAGGTCTAGACAAATAGACACCTTCCGTTATGTATACACACACTTTTTTAGTTTTATTTTATTTTTTACTGGGATCAAAGATTAAGAAAGATATTAAGCCAGAAGTCAATGTTATATCTGCCAGATTACTACCCTAGTGGATGACTACCTGGACTGCGTTCAAACAGTCACATGACTTCAGAGTCTAGCTCTTAGTCCATGCTAACAACTACGACTCTGTTGGATCTCTGATGTGGGGGAGATGCTGTAAGTCAAGCATCAGAGCAATCACGTTATGGGACAAAAATCTCTGGAATACATATAGGAGAACGAGGGTCAAGGGCTGTGTGCAGAAAACCCCCTGAATAGCCTCTGCAGTCTGATGTAATCGAGCAAATGCTGTGGTGCGCAAAAATAGTTCTTTTGGAGGGAGTTGTTTTGGTTTGGGCATAAGGCAGCTTTCCTTCCCTTTTTCCCCCCCCCCACATTCCCACCTAATTCTTTGTTTTTATACAGTGCAAGTCTGGAGGGCCTTGTCATTTCAAAGTGAAGATACTCTTTCCACCCTTTCAACGCGTGCAGTATTACTTTTGACAACAGAACTGTGGTAGAAAAGTACCTTGTGTGGTTTTTTACCCCACCCCACCCAAAGAAATTTAGTGATAGTGTTGGAAATTGAAATATTTTTTTTCAATGGCTTGGCTGTTACTGTATCTTTTAAAAGGGGAATCTCCCATACTGTATCCAGAGGACAGGACACTGATTAGATAACATCTGTCTCTCCATTTTCTCAAGCTTAAGATGTTCGTTTCTAAGGACGACAGGTCATACGAGACTATTTTTAACGAGAATTGTACTCTTTTTAAAATCAGTAGTTGCCCAACTTCTGTAACGGGGGTTTGATATCTTACCCTCTCACTGCAGTTTCAGGAGTTGAAAATCAACAGCCTTGAATTAAATTTGTTTTTTTTAATTTTCTTTACTTTTAGCAGCAACAAAGGTAATTTAAACAAGACAATTGGAAAGTAGTCTATTGACGTTGTGTACTCGGTAGTCCTGTCCCTGCCTGTAACAGATTTCACTGATGTATTTTTTAATACAGAAAACTGTGTGAAAAGTAAACCTGCCCCTGATTCTGTATGATCCAAGTCCATCTGTGTCTGTCATTTCTGATCGGAGACTGTTTACTTCACATCTTGTCCTAAAGCTGTGGGGGAAAATACCCTGGCCATTATTACCCTATCAATAAACTACCCAGAGACTTGGAGGCTTAATGATCTCAATTACATTAATTTTACAGTATATAAATACTAACCTTCTCCCTATAGCAATATTAAAAGTAGTTAGATAGCAAACACACAGTTTGTATTTGGACAGCTGATGTGTTTCAGGAAGAAAAAATATCCCTATGCCTTTAACTGACAACAACAGATACTGTATGGTTGGAAAAAAACAAAAAACCCACAATCCTATTGCCCCTAAAAAACAAAACAAGTAGTGTCTCAGTTGCATGCAGGTCTACCCAGAACCTCACATCACAGGAAATATCCATGAATTATTGTAATTCTTGGACATTCCTCATGAGTGCAGCTATAATGTCTTTGTCAGGTTGTTGTTTTTTTCCCTTTCTATTAGAGAGTTGTGTGAAATTTTTTCAATGAATAAGGGAAACAGTCAAGACATCCTGTTAGGTTTGTTTTTAAACAAAAATTTCTGGTTTTCCCTGGATAGAAGTTACAGAAATATTCCCGTAGAATAAAATAGTATATTTGTATATGATGGGTGACTTACTCATTTTTCTTTCTCTCTGGAGAACCTCACTCTTTTGTTGTGTATGGAACTACAGAATGTCAGTTTGTTCCAGGTTCTTGGAATGAAAAATAATTACCCCTCATATCCTCTTAGCAAACAAATCTATACTACTTTAGCCTGATTGATTGAAAGCAACGTTGGTGAATGTTGTATTTGTCTTTTTATTTAATTTTTTATATGATAAACAGTTAATTGCCGTTTTGGTTCTTTTTGTCACGTTAACAGGACAATAGTTCAATTTTTTCCAGTGTAACAACTTCTGCTTTGTGGTTCTTTGTAAGAGACAATATGCATTTCCTCGCTATTCCAGTGCTGCCTCAGCCTCTCAGATCTGTGGTTGTTTTGATTGGACTCAACACTGAGGCAAGATCTGTTGCCTTGAAGATTTCAATATATATTATTACACACACAGTTTCAAAGTTACTGGGTATCCTAAAACACTTCCTTTATTTTTATTATAAATAGTTCTATCGTATTGCGTGCTGCCCAGGGAATACTCTTCGTAACTTGAAATGTTCTATTTAAGGAGAAAACAAATCCCTTTTTTAGTCTGCACGTGGCAAAGAAATGACAGTGGTGAGTGCAAGCAGGACAAACAGAAGATGCTGCTTCCTGCCAATAGGTTTATTTGCTTATTTTTAGGTCTCCTAACCCAATGACACTTATGATTTTCAAGTGTTTCTTTTCTGGGCACAGATAGGACAGCTATGCTGTCCTGATTGTTTCGCTTGAGGGCCTGGAAGCCAGGCTGCCCAGTTATATATTACAGGGTATATGACATAGTGAATTACAGCTAGAGCCAGTAATTTGAGACTGTCGATTTTGCAAAGATTTTAAAAATGCCTTTTGGGGGGCGTGGTTGTCCGCTGCACAATTCTGACCTTTTCTAGTGGGATGCATCCTGTATGTGCTGATCTCCAGCTTCCATTGACTTCAGAATCAGGCACAAAGGGAAGATGCATGTTTCATTAATTATTCCATTGACCTCATTAGCCACTGATCTAAAAAAAATCTGCATTCAGCTGGCAACAGTCTCCAGTTCAGTAATGTCTCCTCACAAGCTTAAAATAAAATGGCAGCAGTGGTATCAGTTTCTTATTTCCTAAGGGTACAGTAATATAATGGCCAAGCAGTACTGAGGAAGCTTTAGAGGCAGGGTTATGAACTGTTGCCTTACACAACAGCGACAGTGTATAAAACCTTGTGTACTGTGCTGCTTTTTTCATCTTCAGTCTCCATGCTTTATGTATAAAATGAGGGCATTCGGAGTTTGGCTGGCCTTAACAAAGCAGGGTTGCAGTCTCTTGTTGCTTTATGTGTTACCCTATTTAATGTTCTTGATCAGTCCAGTGGATTCGGAATCTGGATTTGCTCTCCTCCGCTGCTGCTCTACAGTATGTTCCAAGTAGAAGGGAACATCTTTGCAGGCCTGAAAGAAGGAGCTAGTTTTGAGCAGCCAATTTAGCAGACAAGTTGCAGAAGACTGATGGAATCTATCTATGTTCACTGTATATACTGGGTATATTTATACCTCAACCACTACAGCAGCAGTGCAGCGTAGACACTACCTACGCTGAGGGGAGGGGTTCTCCCGTCATAGATAGAGAGGGGGTAGCTAGGTCAACAGAAGAATTCTTCCATCAGCCTAGCACTGTCTATACCTTGGGGGTTAAGATGGCATAGTTACATTGCACAGAGGTGTGGATTTTGAGAGCCGTAGTTATGCCAAGGCAAATTCCCAGCGTAGACCAGCCCACTGTAAATCTTTTTTGGAGTCCAGCCTATCGAATCCTTCTCTAGTTGTAAATTGCATCATGTGTCCAGAGAGCAACATTGAATCAGACTTTTCTCAGTTCTCAAGAGAAATTGTGCAGCCAATGTCAAGGCATGGCAATTTCAGACTGGATTATGGATTACTGGGCGAGAAGTGGCAGACCAGCTGCTGGTTTCTTATTTCATGTACTGTGGACGATAGTTTTATCTTTCTTCTGCCGTAGTAAAGCTGAATCATGGAGTCCAGTTTTGCCCTTAAGAGCTGCAACTTTAGAGCCAAACCCTGCTTGCATTACACAGGTATTACCACTGGAGTAAAATTTGTACTTGTTAGGGCTCATCTACATGGGCATAGCTCTGTCTTTCTCAGGGTTCTGAAAAATCCACACCCCTGAGATTGTTAAACAGACCTAGCGCTAGATTGGCAGAAGAATTCTTCTGTCAACCAAGCTACTGCGTCTCCGAGAGGTGGATGACCTATGTCTACACTGAAGCATTGTGGCTGTTTAATCGTAGGCATACCCAAAGACAAGCAGTCTATTGCCGTTTTGTGGCTCTGCTCATAGATTCATTGAAAGATGACCGAGCAGGACACTATTTTACATCATAATTTTAATCCCTCATTCTATTAGGGTCAGTAGCTTGAGACCCATTTGTAGCTCAGTAAAGCCAAGGAAAGCATGGCCAGGAATTAGCCCTACCCATCCATGTACCAGAAATATGAATATATTTTTGCTCAGGGAAAACTGAGCTGGAAGACAAGAGGGTACACACTTTGTGCACAATAGGGTTGTATTATGACTGTTTTGACTAGTTTGCTTTTAAAACTGGGATTTCCAGCTGTAAATCTCAGAGATGAGAGTTTAAAAGGGAACATTATGATCATCTAGTCTGACCACCTGCCTATAGAATTTCACCCAGCAATTCCCCCGCAAGCCCACAGTGTCTGGTTGAGCATGTGTAAAATCTTGTGTGTGATTTTCAACAAAAAGTCTCTTGATGCTTTTGGGGTTTTTTTGTTCTGTTGTTTTGCCTTAGAAGGAAGTTATTTTGCACTTGCCAAGGGGTAATGGAATATTTAAATAAAAGTGGAGAATCTACCGCTGCTGCACTGTATTCCCAAGAGCTCTGCGTTGCAAATACTTTATCATGTTTGGTTTTGGAGTCAGTTTATGCGGACAAGTGATTTTTGTATAGCAGGTGAATAAGGTTAGATAGGCTTAAGGTGTATGCGTTCCATCATTCTGCATGCAGTGTTTCTTATTCAAAGAAGATCCAACCTAATCAACAACATGATGTGCATATGCACTTATAGCAGAGATGGGACAAGTCGATGGTAGTCCTAATTTACAGGTTCATAGGTCTAGAATTCCAACCTCTGTCTAATAAGTTTTTTTGCTATTTAGATTTGAGGAAGAGGGTTATGATGGTGTTCTGGCCAACAATTTTTTTTTTTTTTTTTAATTTATAAAAGTTAGAGGCCACATCTATTGAAATCAATGGAACTACACTTGTTAATACCAGCTCTAGATCTGGCCCAACATGTTGAAAAATTCTAGTATGGTTTTAAAAGTTTTAATGGTTTCATAAAATCCAGACCCCTTGGATTCGCCGATGCCTAGTTCTTAAACACTGATAAGATGGTAACATTCAGCTAAGGATTTTGGGGGCTAATTGATGGAGGTTTGTGTTTAACAACTGGAATTTCCCAACCTCACTGTTGACTGGGGGGTAAACAATAAAATGCAAAGGGCAGCTCTTGAAAAGTGGTCAAGTTTTAAAACATTGAAAATCATATCATCATAAAGGTACAGTCCATTTCATTGACCAAAATCCAGCCCGCATTCTTGGTGGCCAGACTACGTGTGTACAGCAGCTGGATTGGGTATGGAATAGAAGGCTCTCATGCCTTATCCACAAATGAACAGACTATCTTGGGTGGAACTGCTTCACGTTTTAGTAGTTCTACATGTGTGTATAACTCTAACAACCAGAATATACCAAAGGGCACAGTCTGGATCTGTTGGGCAGCTAGTGATCTTAACAAAATTCTCTGGGTGTTTGACAAAAGGACTGAAACAGGACTCCTGCATTCTAGTTCCAGCTCTGCAATTGACTCATTGTGTAGCCCTAGACATAGCTACATTATAAAAACTGCTCCTGTCCTGTAGATGAAAGCCTTATTTGAGTCACTTGCCCCTCTGTACCTCAGTTTCCCCATCTGTCAATTAGATATACTTTCCTACCTCATGGGTGTTACAAGACTACATTCTGTAAAGTGCTTTGCAGGCCTCTGATGAAAGGTGCTATGCAACTGCAAAGCATTACTTTAAAAGGCCTAACTGGGTAAGTAGTGAATAAATACCTCTTCTAAAAATCAGCTTTTTAAAAAAGTGGAGATTGGTGTAGTTAAATGTGTGGCACCTAAAAGACCGGTTATTCACTCGCCAGATGGGCTGGCTGGCTAAGGATGTTTTTTGTTTATCCACAATATCTGTATTCTGGAAAAATGACTAAACATTTTTCAACCTGGCTGAAAGGTTAAATCCTTGTTTCACATATAATGGCAGGATCCCAGTTTAAAGTTATGTCTTGTAACCTGTTTTTATTTAAAAAAAAACCAAAGTTTAAGCTCTTCAGGGCAAGGACCATGTTTTCCTATGTGTTTTGTACAGGACCTAGCGCAATGGGACTCGATCCTGTTTGATGTCTGACTGCTACCATAATTATATCAAGAAACTTCAAAAGTTGTGGCACGCACCAGCAAAACTTGAGGGAAAAAAATCCCTTTGTTCCCCCTATTCTTCTATAATTACGTACAGCTAAGCCCAAGTCCTAGTTTTCCTTTTCCATTTCCCTGCTTCACAAAAGAATTTTCATATCCTATTATAACCATTTTTAACTTCTGTCCCTGAAGGCTTTGGGGATCTTTACACTACTTATGTGGACAGATTTACAAAAGAATAAGGCCACCTGCCATTCTAATAAGCCATCAATCACTTTGCTTGATGGTAACTGTAAAAATAAAGTTGCTGATGACATAAGTGCAACAGCTGCATGTGAGCACAATTGGCATTACCGGTCTGCTGCTATGAATGACGTGTAATAATCCTTAACGGCCAGCTAGATTCCTTGGTACAGGACAACTGAATTTAGCTGCTGCCCCTGAAAAGCTACAGTTACAGTTTTATCTT